CACGCGGGCAGCGGACAGCCCAGACGCGTCTGGGCTGTCAGCCGCCCGCGTGCTCCACAGCTTTGCTCTGCTTTGCTCCCCGTCCCCCTGCAGACCAGGGGGACAGGGAGCAAAGCAGAGCAAAGCTGCGGAGCACGCGGGCAGCGGACAGCCCAGCTGCTGCCCGCGTGTTCTGCCGCTTTGCTTCCTCTCCCTGGTCTGCTGGAGACCAGGGAGAGGAAGGGCCCCGTTCGTAACTGCGTATCCCACATAAGTCGGATCCGCGTAACTCGGGGACTGCCTGTACCTCCTTATTTTTCTCTCTCTTCTTTACCATACTGAATTAACTTGATAATCTGGATAAAATTAATTTATATACTAGTTTTTTCCTGACATGTATCTTAAAACATTAGAAGCATGTATTCAACAGGGGAAATAAATTGTTGGCACAATCTTTTGTAAACTTTTTGGGGAGAGGTACTGTCTTTTTGTTCTGTGTCTGTGCAGTGCTTAGCACAGTGGATTCTTGATCCAGTCTGGGATAATAGTGTACAAATACTATATGCATAATCAATAATTGATAAAATATTAATTAATTAATGATCAGTGTGCTTTTCCATACCTTTAACAAATACTGATGCTATCGTTTCGGCGGAGCCAAATACATTTTCTCCTTGGCATAAGTACTTTCCTTCATCAGATTTGGAAGCATTCAGTATTTGTAGGCTCCCATCTGGAAGAAGAGTTATCCTGAAAATTATAAAAAATGTTTGTATTCTGTATTAGCATGTACCATATCCTCAAACATAGGCATATTCCATGGGGTTATCTTTTAGGGCTAATCAACAGGATTAAAAATTGCTGCCCCCTGTATGCCAGAAAAACGAAGATGATTCTCTTAGGAAAAGCTGCAAATGAACCCATTTTATTCCCTCGTTCTCCTTAATTCAAAATTGACTCATGCCGGAGCCATTTGGTGAGCTCTCCTTTGACACTTAACAATGGTGAATTTTAATTGTGTTTTTGTAAAAAAGATGATCCTGGATTCTTTGTCATTAAAATTTGGCTGATATATTATTGTTGAATGCTATATCAATATTAAGCACAAGGTATTCCACATGAAATTATCAGTGACCTTAAAAATCAAATCTAAGAATTATGAAGGGTACAAAGCAGAGGATGACAAGGAAAGAACATAAAATTAATAGCATGTGGCCGGAATATGATTTATAGTGCTTGCTATACACAATGCAGGACAGGTATGGAAATGAGTTCTGATGACTTCTGTTTACTTTATTTTTTCCTGAGTATTGTGTGGACTTGATTCTACAATCTCTGTGAGTAACTTTGCTGAAGTCATTGGAACTGATGAGAAGCTGCAAAATCACACCCTTTTTGTTGGGTGACTAACGTTTTAGCCTTGTCCAAACTGTGCTAGAAAGAGACATTTGTATGTGCAAAGATGAAAAATAAAACACTGTTGCAACTTTTAATATTCCAAAATTTACAATTAAGGCATTCTTCTATGATCTCCTATTGAAGTGTGATTACCTTTTTTATTTTTAAGTTTTACTTATTGGGTGAGATTCACCCATGTGATGTAAGGCCAGTGCAACACCCAGGATCACTGATGTGGGGAGGGGAACGAGAGGGGCAATTGCTGAGTAGCCCAGGCAATATAAAAGGACCTGGAGCCCTGGCCTCAGCTGCGGTAGCTCTGTCTGCTCTGTCAAAAGTGAACGTGTCTCTTGATTGAAAGATACATTTGATTATGCCCCAGGCAGGTTCTGAGGTGGGGTACTAGGCCTGGAACCTTCATAGAGCATATCAAAGCATCTTTGATTCAAGAGACATTGCTTCAGCTTTCTTCCTACAGGCAGGTTGGTCTGGGGAAGGGAGGAGAGAAGAAGTGGAGCTGCAGGTGGGGCCGGAGCTGGGCTGGCCTAGGGCTTTTCCGGCAGAGGAATGAGTTTGTGCTTCTTCAGGGAGGAGGGCTTGTGGCCCCATATGAGGGAGGATGATAGGGGGCACATTGATTTCTTTACTCTGTGGGGTCCAGAATTGCCATTGGTGGGCCTGGCGAGAGCTCAGTATCACTTAATTACTATTATGAGGACACTAGTGGGAATTGATTGGTGTATCAGTCTTGCACTGGCCCTGTGCATAGTAGAGAATTTTACCCACTGCAGGTCATTATTAAACAAACCCCTCTTGCTCCTCTCTGCCTCCATGCAAGGAGAGTCTACCCTCATGGGGTACATCTAGACTACAGGCTTCCGTCGATAGAAGTTTTGTCGACAGATTCTGTTGACAAAACTTCTGTCAAAAAAGAGTGTCCAGAATACATCGCTTTGTCGACAAAGTGATCAGCTTTGTCGACAAAGAGCGTCCAGACTGCTGGACACTCTGTCGACAAAAGAAGGCACCCAGAAGTGCTTTTGGAAGGTCACAGGGACAGCCTTTAAGCCCAGGCACTGCTGCATGCTCTCTGCAGAGACGCGTGCTTACAGGGATTCTCCTGGACAGCCGTTGCTCTGTTCCTGCTTCTAGCTTGCCTACTTCCCAGAGGGAAAGCAAGGCTGCTGCATTTTTTGCTTTGGTTCCACGAGGAGTAATGGTAGTTCAAGTTAGAGAGCCTAATTCGAACTACCTACTCCGTGCCGCGTGTAGCCGCGGGCACGGAGTCCGCACTAATGGGGTTTAAAAATGGCAGCGCCCGGCAAGATGCAAATGAAGCCCGGGATATTTAAATCCCGGGCTTCATTTGCAACTTCGAATGCCTACATTAGTCACCCTAGTTCAACTAGGGTGGCAGTGTAGACATACCCACAGGGAAGCCCCTGATTGTCCCCAGGGCCTTCCACATGTGGGAGCGTCCCATACCCCCGGTGCCTTCCTCCCTGCAACTCCTCCCGGCCCCAAATTCACTCGTTCGACCCATTCATCACACACTGAGAACAGAGACAGGTGTTGGTGAAAACACGTGGACAGTTTAACGCACTGTTGCTTTTTGAAAAACTAAAATGAGAAACTCTTGTGTTCAGAGAAAATAAAAACTCTTTTGTGCAGTATAAATAAAACAACTCTTTCATTCAGAGAAAATGAAGTGTATGTAAACAAAATAAAGTGCTCCCCTCTGTTAGTGTCATTGGTGGGAAGGGGGACTGTCAACCTGGCCGGGGTGGGGAAGCTCAGGGCTGAGGGGGCTGCCCAGAGGAGGAGCCCCTGCCACTTTGGCTGTGGAGGCCTTCTCGCACCCGATGGCATGTGCGGGCAGCGACAGGAGGGGGCAGGACAGGAGGTAGGGCCGTACCTGGGTCTGGGATGGCAGGAGCTGAGGCGGGGGCAGGGGCATTGGCAGCGAATCGCAGCGCAAATATCAGTGCTCTGCTGGGCAAATTCCGCAGCAACTACTGGGACCACTTGGCCTCTGCCTCCATCCTCCTGTCCATCAGGACTGTGATGTGCTGGTGCACCAGGTATAGGTAGGTGCGCCAGTGCCGACGGGTTCCCTGCAGCTGTCTGAGTGGTGGGGCAGGTGTTGTGCCCTCCTCCCGGAGAGCTGGTCCAGCTGTGGAGGACGAGAGGGAAGAGTCATCAGTCATTCATGCTCACACTTTCTCTGAGAGGGCATGCCCTCCTTCCTCTCAGCAGGTGGTGCCAGTCCTAGGGCCAGAAGCTGCTCATGTGTGTCTCAGTAAGACATGGTGTGGCCTGGCCCGCAGCCACAGCCTCCCC